CCGTGAAGTGAGGGGCATACCGTTGGTGAAGGTCCAAGAAGGGCACCCATACCTCACTGATGCTGTGATTGTTCCGCGGAGCAGCCTCGGTCAACTGTGCAGTGGGCGACGCTTGTGTGTCAGCACGCATCTCATAGGTTGAAGCGACCCCATCCCGCGGCAATATTATTGCGTAGCTCTGTCTCGTCCCTTCTTAACTATTTCACGTTTTGGCCAGAACGCAACATTTCGATGCGATCGCCGTTGATGACGACACGAATAATAATTCTTCCATCTCTCCGGCTGACATTCGTCAAATTTATGGTATTGTCTGGGCCGCATGTCTTGGCTTAGGGTTGTACATCTCGGAACATGCAGGAATATTGTCGCACTTTGGGGGAAGGCATCGTCGGCGAAACGAAACATTGTGATCCGCGCTAGTGGTGCGAGACCGAATTGGATCCCGATGTCCTTGCGCTGCCACACAAGTTTCGCCTGTTTGAACACTTGCTCGAAGACAGCATTGAACAAGAAAGAGCTCAAAAAGTATCCCTGTTTCACGCCCCCTCGATACTGAAAACCCTGCTGGTGGCGTCTGTCCTGACGAATGCCTCTTGGGTGTAGTATAACTGACTGGAAAAGCCTATGTGTGCAAGAGAAATGTGTTGTGGCCGCGACACTCCCCACAATTGGTCGTGGTCTACCCAAACGAACGTTTGTTTGAAGTCGACGGCTGCTGCCCATACCGGTAACTGCCTCTCGTAAGCACCCTCATGTAGCATCGCCGCAATTGTGAACAGGCGGTTTTCCTTCCGGAAGCCTTCTTGGTCAGGGTACTGTTGCGAGTCGAACAGAGAATTCAACCGGTTGTGCAGGAGGTGATACATCAACTTGTATAACAATAGGATAATGGCATTTGGTCTGCCAGAGAAATATGACCGAGTAGCGTGGTTCTGGTTGCACATCCCCATGAGATGACACGGGCAACTCCTCGACAACTTTCAACCTGCGACGCCACACGGACCTTCCAACCCGCGGCGTGACTTGAGCGCGGTGGGGATGTGAGGCTGCCTCCTCCCGCTGCTGCCCAAAAGCCTCGCGGCGACCCCGACCCACGCAACCGGCGGGAACTGGGACGCACCTGCGGCCGCCCCCCCGCGGGCCGCCGAGCCAACCCGAAACGCCAACCGAAAAACCGAAGCCGAGGAATCGGTGTTTGATGAACAAGGTCAGGGATAACGCCTCTGCGGGAATAACCACAAACACCCCCCGCCCCCCACGCCCTCCCGGGGGGGCGGGGGGGGCGGAGGCTGGGCGGCGCAGGGCGCTTCCGTTCAGGCGTGGGCAGGCCACGCGCGTGAGCCCGTCCGCTCTGTCAGAGGGCCTCAGACCGTCTCGACTTATCCTCAAGTATCCTCTGTCAGAGTTGCTAGACCTCTGTCAGAAGGCCTCTGTCAAAGCCGCTGGCTCTCAGAGTCTGAGAGCCAGCGGCTCTGCAAAATGGTTCCAATGCCGCGGTCTGCTCAAAACTTTCCGGAACGCTTGGGGAGCGTTCCGAAGGCTCCAGAACCGATTGGTCCTCGCTGTAGCCTCCCCCGAACAAATACGCTGGGCCGTAACAGTTTACGGCGTAAGAGCGACATCAAGCTCATTGACTCAATTGTGCCGTGAAACGGCGATAAAATGACGAATCATGTTTTGTATCCCGGGCTGTAGTGACGGGCGACATATTAGCCGTAGAAGGAATGGTCGGTTGACATTCCCGGCCGGAGCGAGATATGACATAGCTCATTCAACCCCGATGCACCCACAAAAAGAATCAAGCCAGGTCGTCCCGCCGCTGGGATTGCGGAATCCCTCGACAAAGTCCTGGCCAAACCTACCCCGAAACAAGTGCGACGGTAATTTTGAACACTGGTGGCATATAATGTGCATCCAGGCCTCATGCTGTACTACTACTACTACTACTACTACTACTACTACTACTACTACTACTACTACTACTACTACTACTACTACTACTACTACTACTACTACTACTACTACTACTACTACTACTACTACTACTACTACTACTACTACTACTACTACTACTACTGCTACTACTACTACTACTACTACGACTACTACTACTACTACTACTACTACTACTACGACTACGACTACTACTAGTACTAGTACTAGTACTAGTTACTAGTACTAGTACTAGTACTAGTACTACTACTACTACTACTACGACTACTACTACTACTACTGCTACTACTACTACTACTACTACTACTACTACGACTACTACTACTACTACTACTACTACTACTACTACGACTACTACTACTACTACTACTACTACTACTACTACTACTACTACTACCACCTACTACTACTACTACTACTACTACTACTACTACTACTACTACTTCTACTACTACTACTACTACTACTACTACTACTACTACTACTACTACTACTACTACTACTACTACTACTACTACTACTACTACTATTACTACTACTACTACTACTACTACTACTACTACTACTACTACTACTACTACTACTACTACTACTACTACTACTACTACAGTAGCTGGCCACATTTTGAATCCGCCGACCCTGTCGGTGTGTGCGTGTGTGAGAAAGGCTTTTCCGATTGAGCGGTCGTCGTCGTCGTCGTCACCGCTCCTATCTCTTTGCGCTTTTCCGTTCGAGTCGTCGTCGTCGCCCGTGCGAGAAATGCCCTCGAGACGGCCTCAGACACCTACAGGACGCCTTACGGGGGCTCCAAGGGAAGCCCCACGAGACGAACACCATTGATTTACAATAAATAGAACTATGTTTTTCGTGACCTTTCCCTTTCTGCCCCACGACGCTCCAAGACGGCCTAGGAAGGCCACCAACATCAACCCAAGACGGTCCAAGAGGCTGCCGAACACGCCGAAAACGGCCCAAAACGGCCCCACGACAGCCCAAGAGGCCCCCGAGACGGCCGAATAGGGCCCCAGGAGGATCCCAAAAGGCTCCCTAGAGAGCACCAAACGACATTCAGAGCCTTCCGCCCAAAGAGATCCCCAGAGAGATTCAAGAGGCACACAAAGCCCCCAAGAGGCCTCCAAGCGGCCCAAGAGAGCCTCAAGAACACTCCCAAGACAACCACAAGACTGTAAGATCGTCGATGTTCCTGAAGTTTCGAATGTTCTTCACCGTCGCCGTCGTCGTCGACATCTTCGTGGCTGTTGCCATCGTCCTCGCCGTCGCCGTCGTCGTCCCCCTTCAGGGTCGGCGGCGCCGCCGTACGGCCTTCACAATTATTGTGAAGGCCTTACGGCTGGTGCGGCCGACCATCAATCGTCTCAGCAAGGTATCTCTATTATAGAATACCTTTTTTGCGACGATTGCTCATCTGGAGCTCGACTGGGTAATGAGCATAATCGGTAAAGCTGGGAACGCTATTTTGATACTCCCCGTGGACAATGACTCGACGAACGAAAGCCAACTGTTACATGATGAGATGCACAGAACGGCTTAAACGGAATATTTTTTCACGAGGTGAACGCGAGCAACATTATTCCGCTAATCGCCGTCTGTCTGACATGACGCGCCCGAGCGAGCGGCCTTGGATAACCTTCGTGGCTGCGTCTCTGATCTGATCCCATGGTGATGGTAAGGCACTGAGGGACACATGTGCTTCTTAAGCTCGAAGCATGCGTGGTAGTCCTGCGCGTGCAACTTACGAACTCTATGATCTCAATGACCACGGTTGCCCCGAGATGCCCGTGTTGCCACACATGCCATTATTCAACCTTTCTTGGAACACAGCCAACGTGGTATCCGTCGTGACAAATTTCAAAAGACATGCCCCAACCCTTGCTCTTCCCGTGCTGCCTGGAGATACGTATGAAACTTTGCTGCGACATCCGCACTGTAGAAATGTTGTGCGCTTTCGGCAATCTGAGTTGTGCTGGCCCGTGCGCCTTGCCCTGGCCAAAACATGCTAGGTCACCTGACGTAGGACCTTACTGACAGGGCGCGCGGCCGAGGTTGTGGAGAGCATTACGCCAACTCCGCCTGTAGTACCAACAACGAGGGGCCTTCACCAAGCAGGCCACAGGCGTCGAATCGAATGCGTCGTGCAACGTCGCTCCACGCCTCGCCAGTGTTATGGGGAGTCCATTATGATTCCTAATTGCGAGATCTCAGAACAGGCCGCTGAGCTCTGGACCTGGTCCTCACGCTGCCGCTCATCTGCGGCACATTCCCGCCGAGACTACGTCCTGATTTCTGACACCGCGTGACAGTCTCTTGACTTCATCATTCGTTCCCGGGGCCCAACACGGCCCCCTGGAGAACGTTTCACCGAACGCCCTCTCTGGCGTCGCCAGCGCGTGGAGAAAACGCGAAACTGCCGAGGGCGATTGCCGCTCAAAGTCGATCCACAGAACACTTCTGGTCATCATTCTGACATACTTATCGCGATGCGTCGAGACATGCCCACGAGGCCCCCCCTCAAGCGCGACAATCACCCGAGACGTACCCAACCCCTTCTCCACGCGAGTCGAATCTTTGTATTACCGCTCCATACATCAGAACGCATCGCCAAATATGCACGATTAGCGCTGCCCTATCTCCGCCGTGCCTCCCAGAAGCCAGCGAAAATGGTAACAATTGCGCAACTCGTAGCCACCCAAAGAACCGATGGTCTTGGCTGGATCCGCGTGGCCCCCCGACTCCCCTGGACCTCCCACGAGCCACCGAAAGTGGCGACAATTGCACAGTTCGCAGCGTTCCAGGGAGCAGCGAGGTCTAAAAGGGGCGCGCGTGGCCCCGACCCCGCTGGACCTCCCATGAGCCCACGACAGTGGCCACGGTTGCGCAGTTCGCAACAGTCAAGGGGGCAGCGAGGTCCCAAGTGGGCGCGCGTGGTCCCCGGCCCCGCTGGAGCTCCCAGGAGCCCACAAAAGTGGCGACGGTTGCGCAGTTCGCAACATTCCAGGGAGCTGCGAGGTGCCCCCCGCAGCGCGGGCCTCCAGAGCGCGGCTCGGGTCGTGCTGAGGCACCAGCCCGGGGACCGCCATCCGCATCTGCGCGTCGGACGCCTGTGCCAGACGTAGGGCCTCCGCCCGCTGGTCCTCGAGGGGCGCGGCGGCGATGGGGGAAAGACGGCTTCCCCGCAGCGCCCGAGGCCCGAGGGGGCTCGGTGAGGCGTGGTGTGAGCTCCAATGCCACCAACATGCTGTCCCCCTTTTCTGGGCCACGCTGGCGTCGCGAGCTGATGCCATGGACCCTGCAATGCCCCTTGCCATAGCTCGGACGTCCATTACCCGTGCACTTTTGGTCTCGGGGTCCCCGTCACGAACCAGTCGTGACGTCGAAACTATGGGGAGAGGGCCCTGGTTTTCCTCCTTCATCCACTCGCCACGCGAGCTGGCGATTGGAGAATGACGAGAAAAAAAGGAGAGGGAGGGAGGATGGAGGTTTAATTGTGACAGTAATGGGTAATAGAAGCGTAAAAAGAAGAACGGCGCCTCAAGGTCGGAATGTGATCGCATCAAATCCGGCATCAGTCCATGAACGCGACGAACACGATGAGAAAGCCGCGACGGACTTACTGAAAGGGAACGTTCGGGGGGGACCGGCTCAGGGGGGGAACATCGACCTGGAATCGGCGATGTATCGCCGATGAAAGGTAGTCCCCCGAGGGCAAATCCGCAGGTTCATGGGATGGGTGGGCTATCGGGCCCCTATCGGCGATCTCTGGGCGATGGGGGGTCGATACCACCCCTTCATCCTATCTGGGGAAACCAAATGGCACCGATACCGCTACTCCCTGGACCCATCCCGGGGTGCATTCTGACCAGAATCTCGAGGCGAACCCAACGGTGGCGACGGGGGCATCCGAGGAAGCCCAAAAGGGGGAAAACGGGCGAAGGGTTGCAATACGCGTTGCCCCTGAACTGCCCCTGCCGTCGAGCACGGCGGAGCGCTGGGCCCGCCGCCTCAGCCGCCACCGCCGTGCCGCGGCCACCAGGTGTTGAGCAAGGACCGACCGTCCCGGCACTCCTACAGACCTACCACGACATGTTACGTTCTAAGAACATTAACCCGATGTGTTAAAACAAGACAGACTCCGCCAGAAATGTTCTTAGAACATGTCGTGGAAACCAGAAAAGGTTCTTAGAACATTGTTTGGTAGGGCTATAGGCGTAGGCGAGACAGGACGCTTCGCCACTGCTTGAAGGTGTGCTTCCTGAAGGGGCGCCAGCGACAGGGACTTCTGAGTCCGCGGCGCTACGTTTGAGCATCGGAGCACTGAGTGAGAGCGTCACGCGGCGACAATGCGCGCGAAGCGGCGCGGCCTTGAGACATCGTCATCGCTCAGACGTCCGTTACCCGTGCACTGTTCGATTTCGTGGGCGTATTTTTCGCAAGATGACCCGAAATGCTCCTCGATGTTCCTCGTCGAGGAAAAATGCACACGTCCGAGCGATGCCAAGTGAGACATCGGCATCGCCCGTCTCAGACGTCTCTTTCCCTGGGGTCCTGTTTGGAACCACATGAGCCACCCCCGCCGCACCGCCCTCCGAGCAGGCCACCAGCCTAGCCGTCACCGAGGGAGGCCGCGCCCTTCTCAACGACGTCCTAGGCCTCGCCGACCGCAGCGGGCCACCGCGCCCTGCGGGGAACCTTTTGCTGCCAGCCGCCGTCGCCCGTGCGCGCGGGAGGCCCCCGCCGCGCGCGTGCGCGGCCGCTGTTCCAACGGGCAGAACCTAAAGTCGGCAAGGAAACACTCGGCCAGGGCTGCCATCGGCAAGCTGAACTCGCCAGGCTGAGCTCGGCCAGGCTGCTCTAGGCAAGGCTGAGCTCGGCCAGGCTGGATTCGGCAAGGGCAGAGCTCAGCCTGGCCGATTTAAGCTGGCCGAGTTCAGCCTGGCCGGGCTCTGCAAGGCGAAGTCTTTCCCTTGTCAGCGCCGTCCTTAGCCTGCAACTCCGTGTCGCCACCGTTCGCGTGTCGATCTAGAGATCTCCAGCGGTCGTCGAGATGGTGCCGGCATCTTCGCCGCCGGAGATAATTCCATTCCAAACCAAAGTGCATGTCGGATTCCTATATTGTTCGCCGTGGTGGCAGCCCGCATCGTGCCCAGAGGCAGTCTCGGCCGCGTCTGCGCCTAAGGTATGTTGCGGTTGGCGAGGACTCCTGGTGCATCTGCATAGGATATTATGTGTGTTAAGGTGGTTGGCTCTGGGCTGCCGTAGATCAGGTGTCGCACCTCTTGCAGTCTCGTTGAAGTGGGGCTACAGCTCAAGGCGCCAATTTCAGTGGCAGGTCGTCGGAAACGAAGTTCACTCATTGAGAACCGCTGCCCTCGACGGCGAGATCACGGAGCCTACACCTCACTACCCCTCGACAGGGCCTGTTGCGCAGGCCCTGGCACGCGTGCGGTCGCTAGGGTGAAGGCGCACTGGCCTCAGCGAACAAGGTGCCCCACGCCAGCCGCAAAGCTGGCCATGCGAGGATACCCGCCAACCCTGGCGGCCATGCGGAGGTCCCAATAACAGTCAGACCTTCGATACTTATACATTGCGGGAAGCAAGCATGGAGTAGCCTGGCCGAGACAATGCCCTGAGACGCTTGCTAGTGTGGAGAGGGAGGGGAGTCGGGGAGGCAACGGAGTGGAGGAGCTGCAGCACGATATCCCTGGCCCCCAGGTGAGATAAATTGATCGTGACTGGCACCGTTACTTCTTGTCGAACGAACTCTGAAAGCAGCCGAGATACTCTTGAAGGTCTCTCTCAAGACCATCCTTGGAGGCGCGACCACTCAATCACCCGCCAATGGCACAGAGAGAATGTCAGAACTCCCTGGGTTTCGTATATGGCTGCTATGCTCACGTTTCCTCGGGAATGTGTCCACCCATGTTTGCCTCGCAAAATCAGAGTGAGGGGGCCGAACGAACAGTCACTGTCCTTGGTCGCGTGGTTGAAGTGAGGTTCTGCGGTGCGGACTGTTGTTGTTGTTGCTGCTGTTGTTGGTGGTGGTGTTGGCTTGGATGTTGATGTAATTGGTGGTGGCGGTGCTGGTGGTGATGTCGTTGTTGTTTGTTGACAATGTTGCTGTTGTTGTCGTTGTTGTTGTTGTTGTTGTTGTTGTTGTCGTTGCCTTTTGATGTTGCGGCTGTTGTTGGTGGTGCTGTCATTGTTGTTGATGGTGTTGTTGTCGTTGTTGATTTTGTTGTTGTTGCTGCTGCTGTTGTTGGTGTTGGTGTTGATGCTCTTGGTGCTGTTGGTGTTGGTGTTGGTGTTGGTGTTGGTGTTGGGGTTGTTCGTGTTGCTGTTGTTTGTGGTCTTTTGTTGCCGTTGCTGTTGTTGCTATTGTTACAGTTGTTGCTGTGGTTGTGATTGTTATTGTTGTTGTTGTTGAAGTCTCACTATGGGTAGATCTTGTGGATCATCCCCCCTCTGGTGACCACTGTGTTTTTCTCGTGAAGCGCTTCCCCCGGGGCACGCGCCATTTTCTTTAGGGGAACTCACCAAGATCAAACTGTGTTGTTGGCCCCTGGATTACAACAACAACGGCTCCCGCCTGAGACTACCTCACAATTTAGCAGGGACCCCATCTCCCGCCGGATAGTTCCTCGCATTTTACTCAGGGGTCGCGCTCTCGCTGGAAACTTGCATGCGATTTACGCAATAATCGTGCTCTTGCGTTGGAGCTCCCCGCACTTTACTCAAGCGCCGCGCTCCCGACATTCAGGCACCCAGGAGTCGCGCTCACGCTTAGGACTCCCTCACAGCTTATTTCGGAATCGGAGATCTCGCTGCCCTTCGTGGCCCCGTTGCAGCCCTTCGTGGCCCCTTCGCTTCCCTTCGTGGACCCGTTGCAGCCCTTCGTGGCCCCGTCGCTGCCCTTCGTGGCCCCGTTGCACCCCTTCGCGGCCCCTCTCTGCCCTTCGTCGCAGCCCTTCGTGGCCCCCTCGCTGCCTTTCGTTTCCCCGTTGCAGCCCTTCGTGACCCCCTCGCTGCCCTTCGTGGCCCCGTTGCAGCCCTCTGCGGCCCCCTCGCTGCCCTTCGTGGCCCCATTGCACCCCTTCGTCGTGGCCCCGTCGCTGCCCTTCGTGGCCCCGTTGCAGCTATTCGTGACCCCCTTGCTGCCCTTCGTGGCCCCATACATGTATGCCCTTTGTGGCCCCCGCTCGTTCGCGCCCGTCGTGACCCCATACGCATGAGCTTCGCGGCCCCGCTGTCGCCCTTCGCTAAGGGGCAAACAAAACTACCTCGCTTTTGACCACCCTCGCTTCCAAGAGATACCAAACGATGCCAAACTACGGCCTGTACTGGTCAGGCCGCTTGACGAGGAGGCGCGTGGTATGACTTGGTTTTGCCTGGAAGCGAACGCGGGGTAGGTAATTCACGCTCTGATTCGCGGCCCCCTCACTGCCCTACTTGGCTCCGTTACCACCCTCAGTGGCCCCGTCGTTGCCCTCTGTGGCCCCGCATTATCTGCCCTTCGTGGCCCTCTTCTGCCCTTCGTGGCCCCGCTGTTGCTCGCTCTCGCTCTCGCTCTCGCTTTGGCTCGTCGTCGTCGTCGTCGTCGCTGGCGTCGTCGTCGTCGTCGGTCCCCTGTCCGTCCCTCTTGGAGTCGGGTCCCGGTTGCCGCCCCGCCGATCAGCGCTGCTGCTGGCCAGGCCGACGGTCCGCGGCCGCCCCGCCGCTTGCAGGGGCCCGGTCAGCAGGGAAGAAAGATACACTCCCCAAAAGGGGTACGATCGAAGACGAAGAGGGCGGGTATCGAGGGTTTGGGAAATACACGATGGATGACACTCGAACAGATAAGAGCGAACAGTCTTATCAAGATTGTTGGTGGTGTTGCTGTTGCTGCTGCTGTTGCTGTTGTTGTTGTTGATGTTGTTGTTGTTGTGGTTGTGGTTGTGGTTGCGGTTGTGGTTATGGTTGTGGTTGTGGTGGTTGTTGCTGTTGCTGTTGCTGTTGTTGGTTGTGGGTTGTTGTTGTTGTTGGTGGTGGTGGTGGTGTTGTGTTGTTGTTGTTGTTGTTGTTGTTGTGGTTGTGGTTGTGGTTGTGGTTGTGGTTGTGGTTGTGGTTGTTGTTGTTGTTGTTGTTGTTGTTGTTGTGGTTGTTGTTTGTGTTTGTTGTCGTCGTCCACCCCGAGACCCGATTCGCGACCCACCCGCGATCCACCAACGACCCACCCGCGACCCACCCGAGACCCAACTACGACCTACCCGCGACCCACCCGCGCCCCACCCCGCGACCCGCCCGCGACCCACCCGCGATCAACCCGCAACCCACCCGCGACCCACCCACGACCCGGCCCGCGACCCACTGGCGACCCACCCGCGACACATCCACTGTGCTTTTGCGAAAAATCGGCGCCAGCGGCGGGCTCGTTGTACACAGCTTGTGATAAACAGGCGCCTGCGGCGGGACTTGTCAGAGCCTCGCAGACTGCCGACGTCCTCGCCGCCCCCTCACTCTTACCCGCGAATGCGGGGTGCTCCATATTTCGCTTCGAGCTTCTGCCCCTGGGCTTGTAGATGGAAATCCGCCGTCTTGTCGTGATTGATCGGTCCCTCCAAAGCCCGCATGGTTGCGACAGGTAACTGCTTGATCGGCCAGGCAATGGGGACAGAACGGGCCTGGTAGCTCTGGCCCTTGCCTCCTCCTGGTGTCTTCCTTCTACCCTTTCCTCATCATTGCCGGGAGGGCTCCATGCAGCTCTGGAGGAGCTCGGAGGCACAAACGACAACGCCCAACATTCACAGAAACATCAAGCGCCCCTTCGAATGAGGCTAGAGAAAGGAGGCGGATGAGGAATACGAATCTTGAAGAGAGCACAACCGACCCCAACCCCCAGCCAGCACCCCCACTCCCCGCTTGGTCATCCAACGGGTCCTGGCTGGGGGGGAGGGTTGTTTGTGACCCCCGGGAACCTCCGCAAAAACCACCCTCACCCCTAGACAGGAGCCCCGACGTCATGTTTATTTTTGTTTCATAACGTCGACACCCAGAGGTCTCGACCTGTTCCCTGGGACTGTTTTTTTTTATCGTGAGTCGTTTTTTGTGACGGTCCCGAGGTCTGGTGATTGCCCCCAGAGGCCGGAAATAACGAAGAACCTTCTGTCTTGTTTTTTCAATGACTCGAGGGGTCTGGGTAGACAGGAGCCCCTGGATCATCAATCAGGGATCCTTCTGACCCGGGTCAATCCAGACCCGGGTCAATCAGGCCTTGCAAAATCCTGCAAGATCCTGCGCCCAAACGCGAAGGATCCTGCAAGATCCTGCAAGATCCTGCACCCAAACCCGGGTCAATGCGACCCTGGCCCTGCAAGATCCTGCAAGATCGGGTGCTCTGGCTGACCCCCGTTTGCTTTGACCCCCGTCTCAAGGCTCCCGAACCAGACAGGAGCGAGGGTGCCGGCCGGTGGTGGGCGCCTGCCCCTCCTCCTCCTCCTCCTCCTCCTCCTCCTCCTTGTCCTCTTCCTCCTCCTCCTCTTGGGCCTCCTCCTCCTGCCTCCTCGTGGGCCTCCTCCTCCTCCTCATCCTCCTCTTCCTCCTCGTCCTCTTCTTCCTCGTCGTGCTCCTCCTCCTCTTCCTCCTCCTCCCGCCTCCTCCTCCTCCTCCTCCTCTGGCCTCCTCCTCCTCGCGGTTCGCCCTTGGGCCTCCTGACTCTCCTTCTGAGGCCGAGGAGGACGGCCGCAGGCGTCCTCGTACAGGGCGTCCTCGTGGCTACCCCACTCGCGCAGCTGGATGAGAAAGTCGCGGATGTGGGCCTGGGATGCGACTCTCTTTCGCCCCCTCCTCCTCTCCTGAGATCCTGGCGTTGCAATTTGTTCGAGCCAGGCGTTTTCGCGTTTTCTTTTGGCCCCGGGACCCTCGCGTATCGATCCGGCTCGAGAAATGACGCAGAAAGATTGTCCCTGGGGCTTCGGGCGTGATTTGTTTTACGATGTTCTAACTTTTTCGCGATGTCGGATCTCAGGGTCATGCACTTTCTCCTGCCGCTCCTCGCCTTCCAGCTGCTCCTGATTCCGCTCCTTGTCCTGCTCCTGCCCCTCCCACTCCACCCCCTCCCTCATGCTGCTGCTGCGCGCGGTGAATGCAAACGATGCAGACGAAATGGTGGAATGCCATTGTGCTTCGGGACGGGGGGGAAGCAGGACCCCCTCCTCCTGCCACACCAGACTGGCCCAGAGAACCACACATAACTAGAAGCAACTTCCAGGATTCCCGCTGTTTATTCATGCCCCTGGATTATCTGACTCACCTTCGTTGCCCATGCGCTAGCAGGCGCGGGACCCAAACAGAGTTTTTCCGACTATCTACGTTGTGCACTCTACGTTGTGCAACATCACTGGTGATATGTAGGTTGTGCGCTGTACGCAATGCAGTATATGTGGTGTAATCTACGTTTGCCGTTGATTGCCCTGCGCCGCGATTGGCCACCTCCACTGCTCGCGCAACCATCCCACCAACCCACTCGCAAATTAGTTTGCAAAACCCATACGGTGGCGATGGCTGGTCCATTCCTGCGGCCGCGCCGGCCAAAGCACGGGCGCGCAGCGGCCAGCTAGTTTGGACCCGCAGAAGCTGCCGCGGTGGCGCTGACCGCTGGGCACACCCCAGCGGGCACTTCACTGCGAGTCGGCGATTTGGGCGGGCGCGGTATCATGGCAACGTCGACGACGGTAAACACGATGATGATGGTAACGATGCGGGTGGCGACGTTGAACATGACGACGGCGCAGCCAGCGCGGGCGCCGATGCTGATCACGCCCGCGACGATGACGGCGTCTTCGCGTCGGTGATGAAGGTTTTGGAAAGAGTTCAACATGCGACTCGGGCGGGCGCAGTATCATGGCAACGTCGACGACGGTAAACACGATGATGCTAGTAGCGATGCTGGGTGCGACGTTGACAATGACGACGGCGCGGCCAGTGCGGGCGCCGATGCTGATCACGCCGGCGACGATGACGGCGTCTTCGCGTCGGTGATGAAGGTTTTGGAAACAGTTCGACATGCGACTCGGGCGGGCGCGGTATCATGGCAACGTCGACAACAGTAGACGCGATGATGTTGGTGGCGATGCAGTAGACACGCCGACGAAGGCGCGGTAAGTGCGGGCGACGATGCTGATCGCGCTGACGACTATGACGGCGTCCTCGCGTTGGCGATGAAGGTTTCGAGCTGAAATTCAACATGCGGGCGCGGCCGACGCGCGAGGGTGGCCCGGATGGTATTCTTCGACGCGGATCGTGCCCCCTTCCCCAGCACGCGCGCAAGGGCGTGCGAACGATGTCGGCATGCGGCGCCAGAGGCCCGTTGGCAGGATTCCATAGAAACCATTTTTTTGTTAACAAAAAATATCCCGGCAAAGCAACCGAACAGCGATGTGTTGAAACATATCTGAAAGCATTCCCCTTAAGATTCAAATGAAAATCCAGTTGTAAAATTATGCTGTTCTCGCAGTCGTAGTCGCATTCGCGATGACAGTCGCAGCGGCAACGGCAGTCGCAGTCACAGCCTCAACCTCAGCCTGCCTCAGCCTCAGCCTCAGCCTGCCTCAGCCTCAGCCTGCCTCAGCCTCAGCCTCAGCCTGCTTCAGCCTCAGCCTCAGTCTGCCTTCAGCCTCGGCCTCAGCCTCAGCCTGCCTCAGCCTCAGCCTGCATCAGCCTCAGCCTCAGCCTCAGCCTGCCTCAGCATCAGCCTGCCTCAGCCTCAGCCTCAGCCTGCCTCAGCCTCAGCCTCAGCCTGCTTCAGCCTCAGCCTCAGTCTGCCTTCAGCCTCGGCCTCAGCCTCAGCCTGCCTCAGCCTCAGCCTGCCTCGGCCGCAGCATCAGCCTGCCTCAGCCTTCAAAATGTTGCCCAGGAGCGGAGTTCTGGGAACTGGAAGAACACGAAATGGCCTACAGTTGGCTCCGGGCATTCAAAATGTGGCCCGGGAATGGAGTTCTGGGAACTTGAAGAACACGAAATGGCCTACAGTTGGCTCCGGGCATCCAAAATGTGGCCCGGGAATGGAGTTCTGGGAAGTCGAAGAGCACGAAGTGGCCTACAGCTGGCTCCGGGCATCCAAAATGTGGCCCGGGAGTGGAAATCTGGGAAGTCGAAGAACACGAAACTGCCTACAGTTGGCTCCGGGCATTCAGAATGTGGCCCGGGAATGGAGTTCTGGGAGGTCGAAGAGCACGAAATGTGTGACTGTTGGCTTAAAACGACTTCTGCAGCACCCTGTCCGGCACCCGCCCAGACCTCCCTGTGGAGTCATCTGCTGCTCTCTTTTGACACCACTAGAAACCTATCAGAACAAGCCGTTAGGTAACAAACAAACAAAACACCGGTTTCAGAAGAATGCGCCAAGACGCGAGGGCACGTACATACATATATATATATATATATATATATATATATACATATGTATATATATGTATATATACAGATATTTGAAAACAAAAAAACTTGCATTACGAACTCATGTGCTTGCATAGGTTGTTTGGACATTCGGCATTCAAATCTTTGCGGGGCTACATGATTGAGGCATGCGCGCGTAAGGACGCGCGTGCGCGCGCGACGACGCGCGCGCGCACTTCGCCCCGTTCTTGTGCAAACTAATCTCGCGACGGCGCGCGCGCAAGGGCGTTCGAACGATTTCGACATGCGCGCGCGAAGCCCGTCTGGTAACATTTTCTGAACATGGTGAAAAACCGTTGGTTGTCTTGCAAGTTCGCAAGAGCGCGCGCTGTTTTGAAAACCGAATTTGCGACACCATGTGTTTTGTTCATGCGTTTGTTTCGGCACTCGGTTTTGATCTTGTTACGAAGCCAACGATGTTTGACGGATTTCGGCATGCGCGCGCGACGGCGCGCGCGTGTGCACTTCGCATATTTGTTTGCAAAGGGTCCTTGACAACTTGTCATTTTTGATAAACGAGTGCGCGCGCAAACTTATTTTTCGCAAAGGATGCCAGGGGGGGGGGGCGGGGGGGGCGATACTGGCCTGGCTGGAATGGTGCGGGCTCATATTTGGGATGGGCGGTGGGGCTGAAGCGTTGTAAATTGCAATGCGAAAGGGGGCGCCGAGAATCCCTAGGGGGGGTCGAGTCTATTCTCGTTTTAGCAAGGAGAATGCATGCAGTGCAACGTACGTGCTGCGACCTAGGTTGTACAATGTAGGTTATGGAATCTATGTGGCTGCGCAATACATGCGTTCAAAGGTACGTGTTGCCATGAATGCTGTGCGACTGCTGTGCTGCAGTACGCACGCACACATGTATACATACATATACATGTGTGTATATATATATATATATATATATATATATATATTCATTGGCCGAGGATTATAGCCGCAAGTTATGCCAGTTACAACAGTATGCTTTAAACAGAGTTTAAAGCGACGCCCTACCCACCACCTCCCCTGTGGCTCTCCTGGCGGCGCCTCGGGCAAGGTGGTGGGACCGCCCTGCGCTTTGGGCCTCACGGCGTAGCCGCTGATCTTCAGCATCTAGCCTAGAGACCCCCCTGGCAGGAAGAGGAGGGCAGTTGGCCACAACCCACTCACGACACCTTGGGCGGCGTGACTCAGAAAGGTGGGTCAACAATCGGAGCCTCTGCTGGAAATCTGTCTTGCAGCGCGGGCGCGCCGACGATTCGACACGGGTTCGGAGGACAGACCGCTCACCATGCCTGGCACGGCGGTGGCTCCGCAAAGCACGTTCAGACGCAACAGAGGTCTGGCACTGCTCGCAAATCCACGAATTGGGATGGGCTGGGGAAGAGGTCGGAGGGGGGCTGGGTCACACGCCGATTCGACAAACTCGAGGCGACTGACGAGCACACTCCAAGACTTCTCATCCTGCAGCAGACCTTCCCACTTCCTCGGGCCCTCAAGCGGGGGCGGGACATCTGGGGGCATCACGGCGCGCTTCAGCAGCGCTGCGTCCTCGAGCAAACGCTGCATCCATGGGAGAGGCTTGTGTTTCACTCGAACGTGGAGGAGGGCAAGGAGGGTGCGAGGACGATTTCGCACAAGCCTCCCCCAAAGCAGCAGACGGCCTCGACAGATCAGGCAATCAATGGGCGGTTGCTGCAACTGTTCGCGCATTTCGCGATCAGAGAACTTAACTTCTGTAGAAAATCTGGAGTCGCCTAAGGTACGGCGTAAAACACTCATGTACACCCCGTTCAAATTTTCCAAGGCATTCGGGACAGGAGCAGTAACACATACCGAAAACAGCAATCTTGACATGACTAGCGTGTTCACGAAGCAAAACTTGTGCGATCTTGTCACGCCCGGAACGCCAAAGATCTTGGAGGACAGCGGGGCATACGCTGCCATCGCACTCGCACACCGATGAGAAGCATTAAAGCATGACCCGTCTACTCACGCGTGCGTGCCGAGATGTACATAGCTTTCTACATCAATCGCGAGCTCAGGGCGGCCTGGAACCTGGAGACGCAACTTGCCGTCATGACACCGACGGGCTTCACGCAACTTTACATAATGGCGCCCACGGTACTTTAACAGGGCCTCCGTTTTTGCCAGGCTTACAGTTGATGGAAAGATGGAGTCTCTCAAAGACCCCAAAAAGCTGCTCAAGCAAAACATCGATGGCCTTGTCTAGGGCAGCCCCAGCCGCAGACATGATTACAAAGCATTCATCATCGACAAACGCCGCGTCCACTCTCAGGCTCACACACCGAGGCCTCTGGAGGATCCCAAAACGGGGACTCACGAACAGGCAGGCGGAGAGAGATATCTGCGCGCTCGAGAGTCCACGACATCAGGTCGAGAGCAATCGGGTATACTGCGTTGAACGTGAGAGCGCCAAGCTTACAGCCTTGTCCCCCCCCCCCCCCGCCCGACTCGCCGCCCGACCCTCCGCCCCCGACTCTCCGAACCACGCGCCAGCATGCAGCGACTGGCATAGGTCCGCGACCCCTGGGTCTACACTCCACTGGGGAAAAAAATGTCCGCGCTCATCTAGGCACTGGAGGATCCAGTCGGTTGCGCCATCAGCTACGCCCAGCCTCTTCAGGTGCGCCAAACGAGCAGCACGGTCGGGGGGAGGGTGTGGCCCCCATCCGAACACGAGTTCACGCAGCACTCGGTCAAACGCTTTGACCAAATCAACAGAAAACACTACTACAGAGAAGTCGCGCAAATGTGCTACCTCCATGGCCGCACGAATGAGCAACGTGGCTACGTCTGTCCCTCGCTTGGGAACAGCGCCGAACTGTGTAAGTGGCGGTCTAGGTGGGCCTTCAGCATCCCAGCCGGGCCCTTGCCTGAGTGGTCAGCCAACAGGATCCCACGACTACAATCAGGGTCTCTGGGGTCCCCTTTCTTTTGGTACACCTCCTGGATGCGGCCTCCACGCCACTGCTTCGGCCATGGGCCGTTCTGCAGCACGCGCAGATTGACCGTCGCAAACTTGCAGGCGAGCGCGTCGCCACCTGCCTGGAGAAGCTCTGCTGGGATCAGGTCATAGCCAACACCCTTGTTGCGGCCAAGAGCCTTGAACACTATGCGGGTAGCCTCTGGACCGACATCCAGGGCTGAGGGGGCATTCCTCGGCGGGCGCTCAGGCTCACGGAGCTCGGCCTCGCTGATGGGAACGCCCCCGAGGACATCAGTGAAATGCTCAAGCCAGCGCCGTCGCACAGCAAGGGGGCCTGACACCACCGAGCCGTCTTTTGAGAACATACAAGGTGTGGCTCGATGTCTAGTGCCGCTCAGCGCTCCCGCAATCGCGTAGGCCTGCCTTGGATCGTGCTCACTGAGAGCAGATGAGGCGGCCAACGCCCTTGAGCCGAAAAAGGCAGCACGGTCACGCTCGAGGATGGGCTTGGCACACCACTGCAACCATAATATAGTTGCATGGGCTATGGCGTCCTGCCAACGATATCTACGCATCAAAGTGTCCTGGTCAACTGCATGGCCGGAAAAAGAACCAGGGTCGAGGCTTCTCTCGACACCGTGCGCGGGCACCTAAACATGCCACTGCATGCCAGGCTGCAAGACACATGAGCTGAAAGGCTGCACGCTCCTGCAGGGGCGCTGGGTGCCTCGCCCGACGTAGAGGGGCCACGTGCTGGATGAACTCCCGCACCTGCGCACTGATCCACCTCTGTCGAGGCTGCCTCTTCGGGTCACCGAAGACAAAGCGGCCTGCCCAGCGCACGTACGTGTTCAGCAGCTCGGGGTGGTCATCGATGTGCATGCCTCCGTCGATGCGCGGGAAGAGCCACATCAGCTGCTGGAAAAGGCTCACTCGATGCGGCTCCATGAGGTGAAGTTTGGTGAGTCTGAACGGGGGAGTGGGGCGCGTCGCCGACGGCATTGGCCAAACCTTGGTAGCCATAACTACAGCGTTGTGGTCAGCCCAAGCATTCATGGTCAAGTCGGGGGAATAGTCTGGGCAACAGAACTCAGCATCAGCAAACAGCTCCACAGGAACAAAAATGAAATCGATGCGGGCCTGCGTACCGTAAGATGATGTCCAGGTATGGCCAGCATCTGGGCCCCACGTATTAGCAATCATCATCTGCTGCTGCTCAGCAAACTCACGAACATGCTTTCCATTGGAATTATCACAACTGGGGGTTGTCGTGCCGATCATCGGATATGAAACTGACCCAACACGTCCGTTCGTATCAGCACATACATACCACGGGATGGAATAGGCCGTCCGAAATGCGGAAACCTGAGTGCCAAAAGAGTCCCACCACGCAGCACGATCAGCAGGGGGAGCTTGACGGTGGGGAGCACGGGCGGAAACGATACCGAAGTCGATGCCCTTCTTCGACAGGAAGGCAAACATGAAACGCGCGGAGGGCGCCTCCCGCGTCTTGACTGTGAGCCCATGCCGTGCCCAAATCTGCACACCACAGGATCCGCCCTCACAGGCAGCGGCGCACATCATGGTGTACAACGTGCCTTCTTTGCTGACTGACATGTCCGCGCGGCCCTCTTGCGCCGCAATCACATCCAGCTCAGCAGCACAAAATTGATCTTCAAGCAACTGTACTTTGCGTAGCAGACACGCATTCGCAACCTTGGCGTGCGAGCACTTTTCCTGCCACGGGAGAAAAGTGTTCACATTGGCCGATGCAACCGTCAAGCTGCAGCACCGCCGACCTCGCCTTTGATGGGGGCCCCCCCCGAGGCCGAGACGGTGCCTTTCGGCTTGTCGCCAATCGTCTTGCGCACAAAACCCAAGTGTGCGAGAGTTTTCTGCTTGCCTTGCAAGCGCCTGATGGGGGGGGACCACCGGGTGAGCAGTCCCATCCTGTGGAGGTTGCTTGCCCTCCATGCGCCGAGCAGGCTCCGCCTGCGCAGCCTCCACGCTGTGGGCCAGCTCGAGGGTCACCTTGAACTTCTCGAACAACTCTCTGGACTGCTGCGTGGCTTCGTCGATCGCCGATGGGGTAGACCGCTGAGCAGGCCTTGAGCTCGTCGACCGCCGCCGCGAGGATCGCCTCCAGCTGGTCCACGTTGGGCTTGGCTGGCTGCATGGCGGCGTCGCGCCCTGCAGCGCACTCGATCTCGAGCTGGCGCGCGTCCTCGCGCAGCTTCATCACCTCCTCCGACGCAGCAGCCTGGGCCGCCAGCGCCAGTGCGACGCTCTCGTCGGCTGCCTGGTGGCGCTTGATCGCGCGCTCCAGGGCCGCACGGGCACCGTCGAGCCGCTTCCCCACAGGCTTCGGTGGGGCCAGCTCGCCGAGCATCTGCTTCTTCTCTGCGATCTGCATCATGATCGGGCTCCGCACTTCATCTCCTTGGCCCTCGAGGGCCGCGAGGGCCTTCTCGAGCTGGGCAATCGAGCTCTGCAACTGCTGCCGCGTGGGGGCATTGGGCTGCACCGTCTCGATCTGCATGGCCACGGGCTGGTCCTCCGCTGGCGGCGTTGTCGGGGCCGAGGGCGGAGGGGTGGACATCGTCGTCGTCATCGAGGTGCCCGCCGTGGCACGCTGGAGCTTGGCGGCCACCTCGGCGAGCTGCTGGCTGACGGGGTTCTGGGAGGGGCCGTTGGGCGCACTGCTCGAACCTCCCGACAGTGCTGACTTGGCCACCTCCGCAAACGTCTTGCGCATGCCACACGTGCTGCATGCATTCTTGGTCCAATTGTTCGACTGGCATCCGCTGCGCACCCACAATCTTGATGGAGGCTTCTGCCCACCTCCACGCTGACCGATGAAGTGCCACTAGCCACCCGGATCCTTCTTCCACTCGTCTGACACAGGCGAAGAGGACGAGCCTGCGCGCCCACCTTGCCACGACCATGGCGCCATCCACTCTGCTCGCAGAGATCTGGGGCGGTCGAGAAGGAGGCGCAAGCTCAACTGCCCCGTGTTTAGTCAGAATCGAAAATCGGTTTCGGCGGGTCGGCGTCGGCAGGGTGGGGGGCCAGCTGGTAGGGTCGGCAGGCGTGATCGGCAGGGCCGTGGTCGGTCGGGTGGCCTAGGGTCGGCAGGGTAGGTGGTCGGTTCGCATAACGCCAAGAATGCGTGGCCAGCGCTGAGGCTGGAGAAAGCAAAACCGCATGTACGCCCACTCGCTGGCTTTACTCCTTTTCCTACCACCGTGTATTTTCCTTTTTTTTGTCGCCCTGACACATCTGGGTGGCAGGGGCAATTGCAGATTCATAGCAATTCCTCATCTGACATGATGCCACCAACCATATAGCTGACTGGCCGCTGCTGCACACTGGGCCTTCGTAGCCCGCCAGTTAGTACCCTGCCAAACTTAATCCCACCAGCCCTCTGGGCGCAGGTGGTCTAGGGCGTTTCTTTTTCCAACGTTCCTTCCCAAGCTCGGGGGGCTTACCCCCCCCCCATCCATGCGCTTGGGCGGGGGGGGGGGGCGACCCATAGCAGCGCCCAAAATAGCCCAATTTGGCTCTAAGAGGGCATCAGGGAGCGCAAGATGGCCTCCAAGATGGCCCAATCTAGCGGTCGATGGGTCAAGATAGTTGCCGACACACGTTCAAGAGGCCTCAAGACGGCCCCAAGACTGTTCCAAGTGTTGTCAGAGGCTTCCGAGGACCACCCCAAGAGGCCACATCTTTCAAACACCCAAGGAACACCATTGTTTTGCCTTCTCGCTTTTTCGCTTCCGATGGGCTCTTCAGGCCTCAAGATGGCCCCAAGACAACCCAAGATAGGGGTCCAAAAGGGCCCCAAGGCGGCCCCGAGAGCGCCCAGGAATGTTCCAAGAGCGGGCCAAGAGGGCCCCAGGACGACACTTTTCGAGCATCCGACGGGGGGTCGGAATTATAGACCACCCTCTTTTTGAGCGAAGGGGTCCAAGACGGCCCCCAAAGGCCCCTCAGGCATCCCAGAAGAGCTCCAAGAAGGCCCCCAGACCCCCCAGAAGAGCTCCAAGAGCGCCCCAAGAGAACCCCAGGAGGGCCCCAAGACGCCCCAAAGGAGCCCCAAGAGGGCTCCAAGACGGCCCTGAGAGGACCTAAATGAGAGCACCAAGAAAGAGCTTCAGGAGGGCCCCAAGGCTCCAAGAGAACCCCAAGACAGCCCCAAGATGGCTCCAAATTTCGAAACGCACGCGAGCTTAAGATACAAAACAATGCAACAGCCATTACGAGTCATCGAAACACCCCATCACCCCTCATCGACGCACCATCGTAGTTTGCACCGATGTCCATCTTAAACTTCAATGCGGGAAACTATGTGCGATCCTTGTTTTCCCGAAGACGGCTGCACGACTACATGCGTCCTGTCGTTTCTGGATGGGCCGGTGGGGATACGCGAAGCGTCAATAATGTATTCACCCAATCATATGTACAGCCAGCCTCACATTCGCAAAAGAGCAGGCCAATCCGGCGGTGAGGAGGAATGCACCAATGCCGAGGATGACGAGAAGGAGGAGGAGGAAGAGGAGGAGGAGGAGGGAGGAGGAGGAAGAGGAGGAGGAGGAGGGGGGAGGAGGAGGAGGAGGAGGAGGAGGAGGAGGAGGAGAAGGAGGAGGAGGAGGAGGAGGAGGAGGAGGGAGGGGGAGGGGAGGTGGGGAACGGCTCCTGTCCCAAGATTGTCCGCATCGCCATGTCAAGGCTCACTTGCGGCGCGTATTGGCGACAACCCGAATGCCGAGAGCCACATCGTACATGGTGGGCCGCGTCGTAACCCGTCAGCCCAATCCCTCGCCCGCTCGCGCAACGTGCGCCCCCCCCGATTTCCGTTGAGAATTCGACAATTGGAGGGCGCACGTAGGCGAGCGGGCGACGGGAGGGGTTGACAGGTTACAACGCGCCCCGAGCCTCGCTCCAGGTCGTGGGTTTTTGCCAAGGCGGCCAACGACATGGCCATTGCCGCACCGCCAAACACCCATATGACTGCTACTCGAACGGTTTACGATGCTTCCAACACGGGCCTGGAATTCATCTTTCCGGTTGGCCAGGTTGAAGCTCTGCAACACGAATATCTCGACCTGGCTGCGGTGCAGCGTCGGGAACGACTTCCCCACCAAGTCGAAGAGGAACTCCTGCAAAGAGGAAACTGGCCGGATGGTCGGACTGACGGGTGGACGGGGTAACCGGTGCGCGCGGGCAATTAAAATGTCTTCGGATGGATGTATTTGTGGATGGAGGAACGGCCTGATCTAGGTCACCTAGCGTTAAGTCGGGCCTGTCCCCCTACAGGCGGATTTGGGGCGAAACATTTAAAAAGTAAAACCATACTCCCGAAATGGCCAAAAATAATCAACAAATCGTCCCCAGACTATTTCTTTACTATTTTTAAATATTCCCTCTGTAGAGGGACAAGCCCGACTTAAACCTAGCGTCGCATGCTTTGCCGTGGAGCGCTCTCCTCGAACCTCCCGGCCCCTTAGAGCTTCAGAGGAGGACAGTTATCCTGCCTGGACCGCGAAGCGAGAACGGATTGACTCATGTGCGGATGGCCAACAAGTTTGGCAATGCCAACACACAAACACAAACGCACGCACACGCACACACACACACACACGAACACACGAACACACAAATACACACACACACACCCGCACACACCCGCACACACACACATACAAACACACACGCACACTTTTGCCTCGAGGGCCAGGCAGAGTGACTGCGCTGGCTGAAGGTCAAAAATTGGACGAACAATTTCGAATTAAGCCGCAATGCGCGGAACCCGCACACACACACAAGCCTGGTACCAACAAAATGCGGAAAACGCCTGGGACAATGCGCCCCCCCCCCCCCCCCCTCCGCACACCCTAAAACGCTTGGGAAAGCAAGATGCTTGCGGTCGCGGATTCTTAGACACTGCAGGCCCGCTCTCTTCTGTGCATGCGTACGCGCACGTTCCAACTCCTCTTCCGGCAAGCTGTGAATGAACATCAGGTGCGGCGTTCTGAGACATGCCCCAGACCTCTCGCATCAAGACTCCTGTACTTCAACCGTGCATGTGTGCTTACACATGGATGTTCGTGATTGTGATGGCAGTCCAAGTGATGCCTCACTGCCTCATTCCAGAAGACCGCAACATTCCCACATTGACTTCCGCTTGTGCAGCCAAGTTCTTTCCCTCATCATTTGACTCCAGCGCGTTCATGTGATTATTCATCTACGCAGTTGCAAACGCCAACCAGAACGCCACCTTGCTCGTGGCTGATATCGTGATCGTCGCCCGAACAGAAAGTTCGCGCTCACGCGCGCGTGCAAACACGAGCATCCCAACTGCGTGTGTACTCATGCTGTGCGCACCCAAGCTCACCTGATGACAAACCAATTCTCTTCCTCTTCCTCGTAGAGAGTATGGATGCATGAATCTCCATGGAGCGCTGCTTCGGTGCCACTTCAGGAAGTTTCCCATTCTCAGAGGCCCCAATCAACTGCATCAATATCTGCTGCTGCAACTTGAAGCCAGACTTGTGGAACGTGTCGGTCAAGACTGACAAGATGTCCTGGCCAATATCATGCCAAACCGCCTTCTCATCTGCCTCCGCCCCCATCAATCGAAACGTCGCCATCGTCGCACTCGCTGCCACAACCGTACCACGGGCAACCTCACAAAACCTCTCTGGCTCTCCCGCTCCCGCCCCTTAATCAAACTCCTCGCCGTCCATCTCCTCCTCTTCCCCCTCCCGTCGTCCTGCAGAAGCGTGAAGTAGTACTGGCCGAAGAACGGTTGGTACATCTGCGGCGGGCCCTTCAAGAGCCGCTCCAAGAAGTCCGACAGGATGTTCAGACCTTGGCGGGGGCCGAACACCCTGCGCGTGCTCGCACCTACTGCGCCAAGCTCCTGACACCGCCACCGCCACTGGGGCCTTAGGTGGGCACCCAAACAGGCAAACTGCCTGAGACATCCCCACAATCTGGGTGCGAATCCTGGAGTGTCCTGACCCTTGCCGCCCCCCCCCCCTGGGAGTGTTGAAACCAGCGCCTCGCCTGAGACATCCTCAGAAACTGTTCCGAAAGCAAGAAATGTTGGGCACCGAAACAGGCAAACCGCCTGAGACACCCCCACAATCTGGGCGCGAATCCTGGAGTGTCCTGACCCCTGCCGCCCCCCCTTGGGAGTGCTGAAAACAGCGCCTCGCCTGCGACATCCTAAGAACTGGCTCCGAAAGCAGTGGATGTGGGGCACCGAAACAGGCAAATCGCCTGAGACATCCCCGCAATATGGGCGCGAATCGTGGAATGCCCCCAACCCCCTGGCATCCCCCCCTTGGGAGTGCTGAAACCAGCGCCTCGCCTGAGACATCCTCAGCAACTGCTCCGAAAGCAATGGATGTTGGGTGCCGAAACAAGCAAATCGCCTGGGACATCCCCGCAATCTGGGCGCGAACCCTGGAGTGTCCTGACCCCTGCCGCTCCCCCTTGGGAGTGCTGAAACTGACGCCTCGCCTGAGATATCCTCAGAAACTGTTCGAAAGCAAGAGATGTTGGGTACCGAAACAGGCAAATCGCCTGAGACATCCCCACAATATGGGCGCGAATCCTGGAGTGTCCTGACCCCTGCCGCCCCACCTTCGGAATGCTGAAACCAGCGCCTCGCCCGAGACATTGCCACAACGTGTGCGTGAGTGAGCGAGGAAGTGGTGCGACTGCCTTCGACTGAGGAAGAGCGAATCAGAGAATGAGTGAGTCTTAGTGTGAGTGGGACTGAATGTGAGTGCGCCTGGGTGCGAATTATCTTTACAACGTGCGTTTGAATCTAAGCGCGGCAGTGGTGTGGCTGAGTTTGAGTGAGGAAGAGCGAGGCAGAGTATGAGTGCGTCTTAGTGTGAGTGAGTCTGCATAGGAGTGATCCCGAACATGAAAAGCCCGAGTATCAGGAATATAAGGGCGAGTGCATCTGAATATGAGTGGGTCTAAATATGAATGAGTCTACACGTGAGTGAGTCAGAGAATGATGACTTGAAGGTGGGAGGTGTGTTCTCGTTCTCAGCGCGGTCAAAATAATAACAAGAACCCCATCCTTAGGACATGGGGAAACCATCACACGACAAAACTATGAGTCGGCCTCCGTCGAGTCGGCCAGAATTGAGGACTTCCCCTGCGCTCAGAACGACCAAGACGAGGGCACACTTCGGTTTTGGAACGCACCGTATGCGGTCGACATGTCATTCGCGCACGTTCGAGCTTGAGCCAAAGTGGCTACGAGCGCGCGTCCCGAGCGAAACTACTGAGCGGTGTAGGCGAAAACCGCCCGAGCTTGTACCTGATCCGTCAGGGGCTCGCGTGGCCGAGCGCACTGGAGTAACATGTCATCGACACAACATCACCATCATCATCATCATCATCATCACCATCATCATCATCATCATCAGCATTGTCAGCATCGTCGTCGTCGTCGTCATCGGTATCCTCATCATCACCATCTCCATCATCCACACCACAATCATCATCATCACCACCACAAGCACCCCTATCATCATTAGCAACAATATAAACATAAACATAATCCTTATCGCACCATCGCCATCATCAACACCATCAATATCATCATGATCACGCTCACCATCATAAATATCCTCATCCTCTTCACCCTCGTCATCATCCTCATCACTATCCGCGCCAACATACCCGTCACCATCCTCGTCATCATCGCCGTCATCATCATCATCATCATCATGATCCGCATCGTCGTGACCACCATCACCATCCCCATCACCATCGTCGTCATCGTCATCGTCATCGTCATCGCCATCATCATCAGCATCATCATCACCATCAGCATCATCATGATTATCAGCATCATTATCACCATCAGTTTCGTCGTAATCCTCGCCCTCTTCGCCAAAAGAAGTAGCATCGCCATCGTCATTAGATTCATCATCACTTTCATCGTTATCATCATGGCAAGCATTCTCATCGTCGTGATCAGCAACATGACCATGGTCATCATTTTCACCATGACGATGATGGTCATGGTCATTATTATCATCACCATCATCATCACACTCCTTATCTCAACGACACCATCATCACGATCATGCTCCTGATCATCATCATCATCATCATCAGCAGCATTGTCATCACACCCGTCGTACTCATCACCACCGTCATTCTCTTTATCACAACCATCATCAACATCATCATCAGCATCATCAACATCAACATCAACCACATCACAATCGTAATGTAATCACCATCACCATCACCATCACCATCACCATCACCGTCACCATCACCATGACCATCACCACCATCTCCATCACCACCCTCACCATCATCATCGTCATCCCAAGCTCCCGTCTCTTTCTCAGCCAGACAACCTCGAGGTCTAAGAAGTCGAGACCCGCGAGCACCAGAACGATTGAAGCGGCCCTCCATGAGGCCGCGACCGAATCACGTCAAGCACCTGCTGCGTGAAACCAGACGCAAGCTGAAAACTCTGAATCAGGGGTGGAGGACGGGGGAAGGGAGGTGAAGCTTGAGCTACCGCAGTTGCGGCGAACGAATGTTGAAGCAAGTTTGCCTGATCGACTGCTGTTTAAACACGGTTCGGGGTCGACTGGGGGTCGAGCGGCTGACATCCGACGACGCGCGCAAGATTCACGTACAAGTACAAACCATCCCAAGCTCCCGTCTCTTTCTCAGCCAGACAACCTCGAGGTCTAAGAAGTCGAGCCTCCGCGAGCACCACCAGAACGATTGAAGCGGCCCTCCATGAGGCCGCGACCGAATCACGTCAAGCACCTGCAAAAACTGTTGACTCCAAAACAGCAGACTGGCCAGAGCCGCATAACCTTTTACTGCATAAAGCGCCCAAAGGACTCCCCGAGACATTTGGCCCAAGAGTTGTGATAAGCGTCCGCGATAGCTTTACGCAACCTTTTAGGGTAGGGTTCAGCAAGCTCGGTGTAGAAATTGCCGGCCTGATCTTTGCCTTGGAGCTGCTGATGGGGAAGATTGGTACGCTTACAGATGCCTCTCTTACTCCCAACACATCTGGCCGCCTCAAGCTCGGCCAGGTCAAGATCGTAGCACAAGAAGGTGGTGCTCTTCTCCCAGGGCACCCCCCATTGACAGAAATCGGTGGTGATAACAGTGATGCCCTGAGCACGGGAGAGACGTCGCATAGCAGGGCAAATCCAGAGACGGCTTCTGGCCGGGTTCTCCAATGAGCACGGCACCTGAACCTGCCTGCATTCACGGATAAGGGAAGCGGGAAACAGCATCAGCATGTTACCAATCGCCACCTTCTCCTGATCGGCCTGGGACAGCCCCCCAAGGCCCATAGGCTCCGAATCGCTTCGGAGCCTGTGGGGCCCCGGGGGGATGTATCGGGCCCGGCTGAAGGACGAGCACGGCGTGGCCACATGGGCGCCAGCCACCAGCCCGGCCCTCACCCACCCAAGGAGCAGGAGGCGATTGCGCTTGCACCTAAGGTCGTACATCTCGCCGAGGCTAATGTCCCACAGCAGGGCGGTGACACCTACCCTCGAGATCGCTTCCGAGAGGTGGCCGCTGCCCGAGAAGACCTCGACGAAGACACGCTGCCGGAAGCGAACGGTGCAGGACAACGCCGGCCAGACACCACCTCGCTCAGCAGCTCGACGCAAAGTTTGCCGTGGGCCTGAAGCACCGGCCCGAGCTTGTGAACGACCTGACCCAACCTGCTCCCCTTCTCGCAGCGCCGGACCGAGGACCACGAACGCCAGCGCCCGCGACGGCGCACGTCCTCCAAGCGGCGGCAGCCCGAGGCGTAGTCGTGCGAGGCGCCGCCGTGCCGCAGCATGTGCATGTGGGCGGCGCCCAGGGCGGTCTCCGCCCCCAGCGTTTCGACGGCCACCTTGAAGTCCCTCGTCACCTCGTCGAGCGTCGCGGTGAACAGCGGCGCTGCCGGGTGCAGGCCGGAGCCGACGTGCTTCTGCTCCGCGCGCCGCCAGTCTGCGCCCAGCTGGTGCCTCAGCATCAGGTCGAGCGCGGGCCCGAGGAAGGACTGCCGGCCGAGATCCAGAGAGAGGCTTTCGTCGAACTCGCCGGTCTTGGACTCCCTCTCGGTCTCGGCAGCATGGAGAGTCACGCACCAGTGGGTCGCTCCGCTGACCCTCGCCACGGGCGGGACGAGGTCCACCGCCCTGATGTGGAACGCCTCTCCGGGCCTCAGGTGCAGCTCGAAGATGAGGAGGACGGCGAGCGCACTTTGATAGCGCTGTCGGGCCAGGAGCTCCATCACCGCCATCGCCACTACCATGTAGGGCATCGGCAATCGAGATCGCGGTGGCGCGAGCTTGCGAAAGCCCTGGAGGGCGCGGCGCGACCGAGGCATCAACGCGCCCGACGCTCTGTTCAGGCCGGTGAAGAAGGTCACCGCCGCATACGCCCAGGGCCCTGCACTCAGGTCCTCGCCGCCCAGGTAGAGGTCGTCCAGCCACTCCGCGATCGCCTGGTCCACAAGGTCCTCGGTCGTCAGACGACGGCCGTTCGCCCACGCCAGGAAGTCGGCGAAGATCTCCTGGTAACGGTCCCGCGTCCTCGGCTTGATGGACGCCGCCTCCAGCGCAGTCATGCCCGGCAGCCGCGCAGCTGTAGACCGCCGAGCCGCAGCCCGCGAGGCTCGCTGGCTCACCTTGCGGCGCTTGGGCCCAACCGAGCCCGGGGGGGCAGCTGAGGCGGCCGGCCGCCGCCGCACGAGACGCTGCTGGCGCGCCGCCGGCACTCGGAGACATGCTGACGACGTAGGCCGGCTCGAGGTCGGCGCCGACGCCATGCGCGGCGGCCTGCCCGGCGCCTGCGGAGCGGCCACATCCGCCTGGGGTCCGCGTGCCAGCAGTCCCGTCGGCAGCGCCTGCTCCAGCGCCACGGCGCTGGCGGGCGCCGGGGCCGCGCGCGCGAGCATCGCGCGGGGCTAGCGCCGAGGGCGCTGCGGGTCGCCAACGCCCCCTTGAGGGCCCGTCGGCTGAGTTCCACTCGGAGGGGAGCCAGCGGCAGTGGAGAGAGGAGCCTGTCGCCAGGGAGAGGGCGGCGATGCTCTGCGTCACGTGCAGCATCGCACGGCTCCCACTGCGGCTCTTAGACACCGCCCCCGCCACACTCATCGAATCTCCCAAAACAACGAGACGTTTACCATGATTCCGACGACTACGCAGAAGATGCCTGTAGCCGTACAGGGTAGCGCGGGCCTCCAGGACCGGGATGCTCTCGCCCTTCTTCCGCCACTCGAAACGGCCCACCACCCTCCAATCCTGCTCAATCATTTCCCTGGGAACTTCAGGAAAATCACCGGCTCGAGGTAAACGCCCAAACCCGTAGATGTCACCGGGGGCCCCAGCATCAAGATCATTGCGAGCAGGTTCCTGGGTGTCGTCGGGGCCGCACATCCACGGGGCGGCCTCCTCGGCGGACCCTTCAAGGGCCGCCGCCGCGGCAGCATCCCGAGCCCAGCGCCCAGCATGGCGACGAGGACCCCAAAAGCGCCCCCACGACCCCAACGCCACCTCTCGGATGTGCGGCCGACCTGGGAACAGAGCGAGGATCCGCAGCGGCTCGAGCAGGCCCCGAGGCCCCACTCGCTGGCATCAACTGCGACAACCTCGTCCCCCCAAGCGGCCCGAATATCGCGATAAAGGAGTGGAGAGATAGAGTCCCAGATACTGAGCTCACGCCGAACAGAGGCCCACAAGGCAACGTCGCTGTCGTAATGCTTGTGAATAAATCCATAACAACTCCAGAACAAACTGAGACCCTCCCGTCGAACCAAGGAGATAAAAACCAGGTCCCCGAGAAGCCTTTCAACATCTCGACCTTTGGCCCGACCACGAGCGAGAAGAGCGCGAATAGCAAGCCGAGCGCGCCACAGACGATCCGGGGAAGCAACGAGTCGCCCACTCCCCCGATCGATGACCCAACCCAGCAACTTGGCAGTAGTACCCTCCTCCCCGCCATGATCCTCCTCATGAACGACGAGTCCCCGACTTTCCAGAGCGGTGATGGCAGACGACACCGAATTTTTCACGTTGTCCCGGTCGGTCGAGATCGCAATGTAGTTGTCCACATACTGCGTGTGGCACGGCTGGCTGAGGTCCGGAGCGCGCGTCTTGTCGGTGATCCTAAACTTGGGGTCCGAGCCAGCTGCCTCGACTAGCCTCTCGTGTATCTTCTGGCGCATCCATAAAGCCCAAGACCATCCCATGGGAATGACAGCGAGCCTAGGATATACCTTCTCATGTGCAGCCACAGCTCGACCCCCAATCTCCGTGCACCCTGCAGACGCAGCACTCACAAGCCGAAAAGTGAAATACTTTCTAAGGGGTTTGGGGAGCCCCAGGTGGTAGAACGCATCACTCAAATCCGCACCACCAACGAAGATATCTTCGTCGGCTCCCAGCTCGATGGCGGCAAGCCCTTCACCAGTGCAGAGCGAGACACCACCGGCCCCAGTGAAATGACAGCTTGAACGCCTGCAATCTACGACAAGCCTGAGCTTGCCATTCTTTTTTGGTCACAAAAAACGGCTCCACTCGCTCGCCATCCTCGCGCGAGAAATCTAGCATTCCGCGTGCGGCCAACGCCGACATGAATTCTTCAAAGGCACGAGGGTGCCTAAGCTTGGGATCGGAGTCGGGAGTGACCACACCTGACGCCCGGAGTCGGGCTCGCGACTGTTCCGGCGGAGCGACATTCAAGCGGCAGAAGTCCTCTACCATCTGGCACCCGCCCTCGCCCCAAAGCTCAGACACAGGCACAGGCCTGCCGTCGCCTGAAGGCAGTGAGACGTCGGCGAGAGAGTAGCGACCGAGCGTAGTGCTGTCCACGTCGCACCAGCTCGCCACGCGAAGCTTCCTGAGAGCTTCAGCGGGGGAGGCCCCCACAGGTGGGGGGCCAAGGTCGCGCACGGCGCGTCGGACACGATCCAGCACGCCGGCCTGACCGGCAGAAAAAAGATGGTAGGATCCGCACTTGGCGCCCCGCTCGGGCCCCTTGCCCGGGGAGGTGCGGTCGCGGGGCTGCGGCTGATGCGTGTAAAGCGAGTTAAGGCCCCAGAGCGCACGGTCAACTTCGCGCTCTTCGGCCTGGCGCCTACACAACCTCTGCCGCGTGCCACGAGACATCTCATTAGCCCGCGCCTGGTCGACCCTGAAAACCTCAGGACGAGGAAGGGGGAAACAACTCACGCGGCACTCGACGGCTCGGGTCATGCATCCAGTCTTCCCGAGAAGAGAGGGGGGGGGCGACGGAGGCGGAGAGGGGGGGACTAATTGACAAGCTTCGCTCGCGTGCCCTGGGGCGCGGCTCGCAGGGTCACTCGAAGGTCGGGGTGGCTCGGGCACGCCTGCATCAGGCGGGCCGCGCGGAGCTGAGGGCCCCGCCATGCCCGCGGCCCGCGCAACCGGATGTAGCCTCGAAGAAAGGCTCTCACCCGGCATCCTTCTTGGTGTTATCCTTGGCCCGGGCAGCATCTCGCTCCTCTCGGGCCTTGCGCAAGCGCTTGGCAAGCGAGGCCTCATCAGGGAGCCGCCCGCGCGGGCGGTGCCCGCAAAGGCCATCTGCTCCTCGAGGCTGAGCTTCCCCCCGTAGCCCTTGGACTCCTGCTCGCGATGTTGCAATGCTCGGACACGCCCCAACTCGAGAACTCCAGCTTGCAAAGGACGCGGAACCTCTCGTGGTGCCCGTCGAGCCCGAGCCCCTCGTGGTTGATGAACTCCAGGCACCACAGCACGGACCTCGGCCCGGGCAAGTCCCAGTCGTTGGTGAACACCTCCTGCACCACGGCGGCGACCATCTCCGCCCAGGTGCGCTCGCGCCGCCCCTGGCGGTTGCGTCGCACCGCCATGATGCGAGCGTCGCCGAACACCCCCTTGTCGAAGAAGGCGACCTCGGTCGCTGCTGTCACCTCTTCGACGAACAGGGCGGTCCCGTCCGGCAAGAGGTGGAAATCCTTCGAGCCGATCGCCTGGGCGCTCCGCACGTGGCCGGGCACAGGGTCACCGAATCGGAAGCCGCCCCCGCTCTCAGCGGCCCTCCAAGCGGCGCCGACGCCTGCTGCAGGCGCTGCCGGCGCGACGCCCTGCAAGGGCCCCACTAGCAAGGGCGGGGGCGCGGCCGCCGCCGCGGGGGCACCGGCGGCGCCGGCTGCGGCAGGCTCGGCCGCTCCCGGCGCAGGTGGAGCACCCGGAGCGCCGGCGCCTGCAGGTACGATGGCCCCAGCCCCGCCGGCACCGCCCACAAGTCGGCCCGCGGTGTCGATCGGCAGCAGCCACACGAAGCCCGCCGGCGGCGCCGCGCCGCCCGCCGCTGCCAGCAGGCGCCGACCCTCTGCCTCAGCCCCGTCCTCGGCAGCCTGCCGGAAGGCGGCGTCCCGCGCGGCCGTCGGCTCCCGCCGGAAGCGGTACACCCGATTCCTGGCCACACCAGCTGGCAGCTCACGATACTCGCTGCGCCAGCGAACTGCCAGCACGTCCTCCGAGGTCGGCGACCAGTCCTCCGGGTAGACGTGGGCGTCGGCGGTAGCGGCCACGTAGGTCTTACCACCCGAGTGTGCCACCACCCCGTACACCCGGCGCTGGTGCCAGAGCGGCTGGCCTTCCACGTTGTACAGGACGTAACTCCAACTCATCTTCGCTGACCTCGTCCTTCACGGGCCTGCGGCACAGCCGGCGCAACAGCCCGCCAACGGCAAGCCCTCTAGTCGCCAGGCCGCCGCCCACCACGACGCCGAGGAAGAAGATCAGGTACGCGAGGTAGCCCAGCCCAGGCTCGGCGCAGCCCGCGGCCTCCTCGCGAGCGCCAGCCGCCTCGGCGAAGGCGGCAGCACCCGCCGGCACCGTGAACGGTCGGCAGGCTGGGCACGCCGGGCACGCCGGCACCACACAGTCCCCGCAGGTCAGCCCTGGGCAGGGCGGACAAGTCGCCTGCGGGCAGGCGGGGATGGCAGGGCAGCGCGCCGCGTAGTTGACGACGCCCTGGGCCAAATACTCGGGGCCCCTCTGGAGCAGCCAGTCCCACATGCGCGACGCTCGGGACGGCGGCACGAGCCTTTGAAGCTTGAGCCACCGCAGTTGCGGCGAACGAATGTTGAAACAAATTTGCCTGATCGACTGCTGTTTAAACACTGTTCGGGGTCGACTGGGGGTCGAGCGGCTGACATCCGACGAGGCGCACAGGATTCACGTACAAGTACAAACCATCATCGTTTTCATCATCATCGTCATCATCATCACCATCATGATCATGAGTGTGATCGTCATCACGATCATCGTCATTGCCAATACCGTTATCAGAATCGACACCGCATGGATCGTTCGATAGGCGATCGACATTCTATCCATGCGCCTAATCCCGTCCCCGCCCCCGGTCGACATTTCATCCATGCCCTGCTGCACCTGGCGCCCAGAGTGGGGGGCAGCAGCAGGGGTATGGATCGAACGCCGATGGCCAAATTTGGGCTTCTCGGCGGAATCCTGGGGAGGCTCTTGGATCAAGATGGCTCCGGACGCCTTCAGATGGCCTCCAGGACGGCAGGTTGGTCCAAGATAGCCTCCAAGAGGCCTGCAGTCGGCTCACGTAGCCACGTAGCCTCCCAAGAAAGCTCCCGACGAACCCGAATCCGTCCAAAACCGAAGGAGTCGTTTGAGCTACGGCTTGCCTCCCTGCATGTTTCGCTTGGCCTGAGAACTGCAAATTGCCCCAGGACGGCCCAAGACAGCCCCAAGATGAGGCCACAGGGGTTCTAAGTCGGCGCCCAAGAACGCCCCAATAGTCCCAGGAGAGCAGCAGCGGCGCTTTCTGGCTCCAGATGGGGTGGGGCTACTTGTGGACACCGCTTCGTGAAATCGATCTCCAAGATGGCCTGAAGAGAGCCCCCAAAGACACCCAAGAGGGCCTCTAAAGCTCCCGAATTGGCTCCGAGAGGGCCCCCAAATGGCTCCAAGAGGCTCCTGGAGCGAAAGATCCGCGAAGACCATTACGGTTGACTTCTGTCGTCGTCGCCGCCTTCTTCTTCCCCCATCATCCTTCTGCTCTGCCTCCTCCGCCTCCGAATCATCTCTACCTCCTCATCCCCTTGTTCCTTCTTCGCTTCCCATGATTCGGTTCACATGGCATTCAATGGAAACTTGGTCCGTCAAACCATATTATGTCTCTTCCTTCTGCTCGTCATCTTCCGCTTCTTCCTCATTAAATCTTCATCCGCCATCCTCCTCATCCGCTTCCTCCTCCTCCTGCTGCGAAAGATCAGGGCTGCCCCCCTCGCTGTGCTCATGCATGATCTTACATTTCTCTGGTATTCGCCCGGACATCGTTTCTTGATGGGCTGGTGGGCGCGAAGCGTCAATCATTTCCACCGTGGTGGTCAGGAACAGCAACATCAATACATCACCAACAGAACTCTGCATCCGTGCCCTGTGTTTTTGCTGGGCCAGATCGATATGTGACGGTCCCAGAGCCCGAATCTCCCCGCACGTCGTTCTTGTTTCACGGCGCCCGGATGTGAAGGAATGCTGGGAAAGGAGTCGCCGATGCTGCAGGACGAGCCAGGAGGATCTAACTCCAAGCGGCAGACCGCTGTCAGCAACCTGTGGCTGCTCATGCTTGGCGGCCCAGATCAGCGAGTCCACCTGTTGAGGACGCGGTGGCGTGGCTCGCTGCAACATCCTGCTGATCCTGCTGCAGCTGCTACGCTGGCTGCCATCTCCCCTGAGGTGGGCGAACGTGTGATATCTTTCTGGCACATCATGGGGGGACTGATGGATACATGTCCGACAGATCGGCGATATGCCCCGACAACAGAACAATGCACGTTCCTGGGCAAGGTTGTGTACAGTCGGGGCGCAGAAGAAAGAACCCTTTCGTTGGGGAGGGGCTCCGTGTTCCTTAGTTGTTTCTCAGTTTGCATTACAACTTCCTTAGGTTTTCCATGGGAAATCGAGGTTCAGTTTGTGGAGAAAAGGGGCCTCGTTCCTTATTTAGGGTTCCTTAGGTCCACGCCCCGACTGTACCCAAGCCCAGACACGAGTCGCATTCGCCAGCGGTGGCCTTCGCCAGCGGTCGCCTTCGCTGGAGTAGTCTTCTGAAGGGGCCCATGGACACACACACACACACACATCAATACACACAAATCCCATGCGTCCAACATTTGCCCATATTTTCTGGGTGCTTGTTTTTTTTGAGTTCTCTCCCTCAGCGAACCAACATGTCACACTGTGCTCCGTCTCGCGACAGCAGCCTTTGAAGAGCAACCAACACGTGGTGCGCCTCGCGGCAGCAACCTTCGACGAGCTCCTCTGGACCGGAGAGCCATGCTTGACCACGTGCCCTCTAGTCGGCGGGAACGGAACGACGGCGATATCCCTTTAGAAGGGAGAAATGAACATAGTTCGGATGGCTGTGCCGTTATACCACCCACGGCCCCTCGGCCCATGGTATCCCATCTCATGCGGTCTACAGCAGGATAGCCTGGAGTACGAGGAACATCTGTTACAATTTCCTGAACGCCCAATGCTCGCGCACTTCGACAAGGAGGATATGGTAGAGGAGTGGGAGGAAGACGAGGATGGTGGAAGGAGCGGAGGGAGAGGTAGACTTCGGGACAGTCTGGTGGTAGTGTCGCTCTCGTGCAAAACGGTGCGACAGAAGAGTCCAATTACAAGAACGGCGCCGCGGCCGGTGGTGCCATGGCCAAAACCGATGCCATTTGGATGGCGGGGCCGAGGCAATCTGCACACTGAACACAATGCACGTCATGTAATTCATTCAACGTTGGGGTATTAGGGCCCATGGGAGCCGGGAGAAACATAACGTATATAAGCGGGGCGCAGCTCTGATCGGATCCGCGCTATCTCGGATCGACCTGCTAACACCCGAGGCCGTATTACACCACGAGGGTCAGACACGCGCGTCTCTGCAAAAGGTGGTGTTGAGGGAGGTTCCCATGACGGCCAGAGAAAGAGGACGAAGGGAGAAGGCAAGGGGGAGGAGGCAGAGCGAAAGGCGGAACGCTGTAAAGGTACAAACCAATGTTGCGAAAGGGCTTGCGGCTGGAAACCGTACTCCCGCACAAGGCATAAGTTGACGGTCGCTGCGCCGAACTGCGACGCAACCCACCATGCCAATCAAAACTGTCCTATGTAATTGGGCCAACGAACTGTTCAACTGTATGTAATTCGCAAGCTTTTCGCTTCGGCAATTAGTGTCCGCAAATTCGAGACTGCCGGTCGTTGCACCAAACTGTGCCCAAACGGCAGTCCTGTGAACCTAAATCAGTTCGTGCATCGCGATCGGCTCGCAGCCGCCATGCTAAGCAAAGCGGCGAACCGCTACCCTGCAGGTCACAATCAGTGTATGCACATAGCTCGGTACAAACGGATCTGAAAATGAGGGCGAGGATGCGAGATCGTCGAGCGACACCTTGCTACCCCCCCCACTGATTTCGACCAAATTATAATGGAAATGCGAGCCGTTGACGGCGACATTCGCCACGCACGGCTGGCCCAGCTTCTTGTTGTATTGCGCTGGCCGCCAAACTTAAATTACAGCAGCCAGGACGATGCGATGCCACAGGACTGGCCAAAGAAACCTGGACCAACTGCTAGACATCTGGAATAAAACGTGCGGCAGCCATACAGCTGCAAACTCCTCGGGTGCAGGAATGGCCAAGCTTCTGGAAGATGGAAGATACAACGCTGGCCCGGTAGAAAGAAAGGACACCTCTGGATCACCAGCGTGACCCAGTCACAGCCGGCTGGTGGAAGCCCAAGTCGTTTGGGCCGTCGCCTATTGGTATTGGCCGACGAGCAGAACCCTCGTCTCCACGAGTCGGTGTTTGTGTGCAAGCCTCCACCCCGCCTGCAGGCCTCACGCTTCCCCCTCCCCGTCCCGTCGCCGACTGCAGGGCACTGCCCCTGCAGCTTGGGAAGCACTGCCATATTTTCTGGGTGTTCGTCTTCCCCCCAGCTTCCCATAGTTTCCATGTGTTCATGGGAATCGACGATTAATTGTGTTGGTGTTTTTGTTCCCCTCCTGATCTTCGCTGGGGTCCGCATCGCCAGGGTTTGTCTCGCGTCTGGGCCAGGTTCGCCTTCGCAAGGATCGCCGTCGCCTTCGGCCTACTGCGCTGGCGCAACTCCTGCTGCTACTGCTTGTGCTCCTCCTCCTCCTCCTCCTCCTCCTCCTCCTCCTCCTCAGCGCAGGAGTGCGAGTGCAAATAGTCAGCTACAGCGCTGGGGTCAGCTCTTGCGAGAAGGGCGGCAGTGAGCAACCAAGATCTGCTACAACTCTGGGAGTCGTGCATGCGAGGAGGAGCTGTGGGCGAAGCTCGAGCTCCAGGTAAACAGAGGGCGACAGATCAGGTACAACGCTGGGAGTTGCTCATGCAAGAAGGGCACCAGTGAGCGAAGGATCACCTACAACGCTGGGAATGGTTCATGCGGCAAGGAACTGTGGGTGGAAACTCGAGTTCAAGACACGCCGTGGGCGACATAGCAGCTACAACGCTGAGAGTAGCCCAGGTTCACAGACAGGCAGCGAGCGGCGCATCAGCTATAAGGCGAGAAGCAGCTCACGCGAGAAGGGCGGCAGTGAGTGAAGTCTTAGCAGCAACGAGGGGGGTAGGTCATGCGAGAATGCAAACAATGGGCGACATATCGGCTACAACGCTGGGCAAGACTTTTCGGAGGCCGCCCCATGTCGCCTGGGATTACGGTGTCCCCGGGGGGAGGAGGAGGAGAGGGGAGGAGGAGGAGAAGGAGGAGGGGGAGGGGGGGAGGAGGAGTAGGAGGAGGGGAGGGGAGGGGGGAGGAGGGAGGGGGAGGAGGAGGAGGAGGAGAGAGGGAGGAGGAGGAGGAGGAGGGAGAGGAGGAGGAGGAGAGAAGGAGGAGGGAGGAGGAGGAGGAGGAGGAGGAGGAGGAGGAGGAGGAGGAGGAGGAGGAGGAGGAGAGAGGAGGAGAGAGGAGGAGGACGGGTCGCCTAAGCAGGAGAAACCCTCCCGATAGGCAACCTGGAGCGTGGTGACCGCTCATTTTCGTCGGCTCCACATGACCACGCAATGCGGAAAAGATCAGGCCAACAGAATCCAGCAAGGTCCTCCGAACGGGACGGGCAGGCCCTGGCATGTGGAACCGGCGGGCCGACCCTCACGGGCGCGTCGGGTGATCTGGACATTCGACTACACGCAAGAAAGACCCTGGGCTATGCTGCTCCCATCGTACTTAAAAACCGCATCCCCTAAATAATTCCGAGCACACGGAAAAGTGTTGAAACAGTGTCGAACCCGTGTCGAACGAGTGTCTCCCAGGGCCCGACACATGAACACCTTAGAGTTTCGGTGCTTTCTTGGTGCTCGAAATTCTTGCTGGTGATTCAGGCTAAAGTAGGTTGGAAAATCAGAAGCCCTGGGTAAGAAAGACCTTTGGTGCGCGGCTTTTTGGGGGCCGCGAGGGGACCAAACACGAGCGCGCAAAACGCTGCTACCGTATCGCGTTCGGCGATGGGGGAGTCCCTATTGGGCCCACACCAAAGGTCACTCCAACGAATGGTCACTCTCACGTGTAGCCGAGACATCCAAGCGGGCAGGCATGCTTTCCAGCAAGCGAGCGGGCAGACCCCAACGGGCGGGGCAAAGCGGACGGACCTCCACGGGCGGGCACGAACGGGCGGGTGGAAAGCGGGTGGGCAGGGTTTCGGGCAAGCGAGGGACGGGCCGACGGGCGGGTCGGGTGGACCCCAGCGGGCCAGGCGGGCGGCCTGGACGTCAAAGCGGGTGGTCGGACTCTCAAGCAGGCTCGAGGAAGGGCGGGTGACGACGACGGCCACCAGCGACGACTACAGTCAAACTGTCGCCACCAAGAACGCAACAGGAAGAACGAAGCCCCGCTTTAGGCACCAAAAACGCCCGGGTGAACGAGGGGGGCTAGAGGAACAGACACGGGACGACGCGAGGAACAGCAAGCCCCTTCCAAACCCGCAACGATCCTTCTTTCAATTTCAGCGTCTTGGCTGTACGACGAATGACGACCACTCTCCGGCGAGCCCAGGGGAAAATGCTAAGGGGCTGGCCTTCTCAGAAGGCTCGGAAGCCCCCCGGCCTTCTGAGGAGTTTTCTGAGCCTTCCACGAAAACGCTGGACATCTCTCAGAAGGCGCGAGGGCTTCTGAGAAGTCCCGCCGCCTTCTGAGAGGGCCTTCTCCTTTTCGCTTTCCCCCCCCTCGCTCGCCGAACCACGCCGCCGAGAACGACGATGGCGACGACGGCGACACCAGCGACAGCGCGACGAGGGCCGACAGGCGGGGCGGGCCCGCATGGGAGGAGCGGCAAGCGCGGCCGAGCAAGACCGACCGAGCGGGGACGGCCGAGCGAAAGCGACTGGGCGAAGGCGACAGGGCGACAACGACCTGGCGAAGCCGGCCGCGCAGGAGCGACCGGACGGAGACGACCCGGCGAGAACGACCGAGCGAGGACGAGGGGGCAAAAACGGCCGAGCGAAAACGACCGGGCGGACGCGAGCGGGTGAAAGAGAGACCCCCGCGGAAGCGGCCAGGCGATAGCGAGCGGTTGAAAGCGATGGCTGGCGAACGCAACCTGCGCGGCCCAGACTGGCGAGTACTGGGGGGCCACGTTCTCC